CCTGAAACAAGGGGCAGGGGTGTTCTCGAAAATTGACCTAAGATCCGGATATCACCAAATACAAGTGGCCAAACCAGACATTCAGAAAACGGCATTCCGGACGCGTTACGGCCACTATGAATTTACAGTAATGCCCTTCGGACTCACCAATGCACCCGCCATGTTCATGGACCTCATGAACCGGGTTTTCCGACCCCACCTGGATGACTTCGTCATTGTATTCATTGACGACATCCTAGTCTACTCCCGAAACAAGGAAGAACACCAAAGGCACCTCTGCATAACCTTGTAAACTCTAAGAGAACACCAACTATACGTTAAGTTCTCCAAATGCGAATTCTGGAAAGACAGCATGGCCTTCCTAGACCACGTGATAACCAAAGAAGGAATTAAGGTAGACCCCGCCAAGGTCCGTGCCGTTAAGGAATGAACCACACCAAGTTCGCTGTCAGAGGTCCGCAGCTTCCTAAGCCTGGCTGGTTACTACAGGAGGTTTGTACCTGACTTTACTAAAATAGCTCAACCTCTCATCAAACTCATGAAAAAGGAGACCCCCTTCCGATGGGACGACAACTGCATCGCGGCCTTTCAGGAATTGAAAGATAAACTAACCACGGCACCCGTACTAGCTATCCCCTCCGGAGTGGAGGGATTTGAGGTCTTCAGTGACGCATCCAAAAAGGGGTAGGGTTGCGTGTTAATGCAAAAGGGCAAAGTAATAGCATACGCATCCAGGAAACTCAAAACCCACGAAGAAAATTACCCCACCCATGACCTCGAGCTAGCCGCTATCGTATTCGCGCTGAAAATTTGGAGGCACTACCTATACGGAGTGCAATGCAAGATCTACACAGACCATAAGAGCCTAAAGTACATCTTCACCCAGAAAGACCTAAACATGAGACAACGAAGGTGGCTAGAACTCATAAAAGACTACGACCTAGACATTCAGTACCACGAGGAAAAAGCTAACATTGTGGCAGACGCCCTAAGCAGGAAGGCTAACCACTCCCTCAACGCCACCTGGGTCCTACCCGACCAGCTGTACAAAGACTTCCAGAAGCTGAACTTGGAAATAATAAAGCAAAATCAAACCCACCCCAAGATCCACCTATTCAACACAAATATCATACCCACACTCTTCGAAGAAATAAAAATAGGACAGCAGCAGGATCCGGGACTAGATAAAATACGCCTCGACCTAACCCAAGGGAAAGAAGGACCCTTCAAAATACACGAAGATGGCAGTCTCCGCTACCAAGGTGGGTGGTGCGTACCCACGACGCATCCCCACTTAAAACAACAAATCTTGGAGGAACGACACAACGCCCCATACTCAGTGCACCCCAGGGGTGACAAACTATACCAAGAGGTGAAAAGGTCGTTTTGGTGGCCCAACATGAAAAAGGAAGTCGCAGATTTCGTGTCCAAATGCCTGAACTGCCAAAGGGTGAAGGCCGAACGATGCAAACCCAAGGGACCCGTGCAACCCCTTGAGATACCACAAGGAAAGTGGGATTCCATATCCATGGACTTCGTCGGAGGATTACCCCAACAAAAACCGGCAATGATAAAATTTGGGTCATAGTGGACCGACTAACCAAAACGGCGCGATTCATTGCCATGAAGGAGACATGGACGATGACACAACTAGCCCAAGCCTACCTAGCCCGAGTGGTGAAATACCACGGAATTCCCCGAAACATTGTGTCCGATAGAGACTCCAGGTTCCTCTCACAATTCTGGAAGTCACTACAATCGGCCTTAGGGACACAACTAAAACTAAGCACGGCATTCCACCCCACCACTGACGGCCAAACCGAGAGAACCATTCAGACTCTCGAAGACATGCTGAGGGCCTGTGTGTTAGACTTCCAAGGGACATGGGAAGAACACCTAGACCTCATTGAATTCTCGTACAACAACAGCTACCACGCAAGCATCCGTATGGCACCCTACGAAGCCTTATACGGACAAAAATAAAGAACTCCCTTGTGTTGGGAGGACATGGTCGACCCGGTGACACTAGGGCCCCAATACCTACAAGACACCATAACCAAGGTCAAACACTTCCAAGAAAGGATGAAGGCTGCTCAGGACCGCCAGAAATCCTACGCCGACCGACCTAAAGAGAAAACAAGCCGAATTCAACCCCGGGGACAAGGTTTGGTTGAGAATCTCACCCACACGAGGGGTAATGAGATTCGGAAGAAAAGGAAAACTCAGCCCCCGATTCATCGACCCTTATGAAATCATAGAAAGGGTCAGGAATCTAGCCTACCGCCTCACTCTACCCATCGAACTAGAAAGAGTACACAACGTATTCCACATATCCCAGCTAAAGAAATATGCGCACGACCCAAGCCACGTGCTACAACCCAAGGTCGTGGACCTCGACGAGTCTCTAGCATACGAAGAAAGACCCGTAAGAATCCTGGACACCAAGACAAGAACCACCCGTCGTCGGGCCATAGAAATGGTAAAAGTCCTCTGGACCAACCATGGGACCGAAGAAGCAACATGGGAACTCAATGACACAATGAAGGAACGCTACACCGAACTCTTCACACCAGGTAACCAAGAGGGAGTCGCCCGACAAGAACCAAGCTTCGGGGACGAAGCTTCCCGTTAAGGGGGGGAGAGTGTAACACCCCGTGTTACGACCCCAAAAACCAATTAATCATTTAACCAATTATCCAAAGAAAGAATTAAATTACAATAATTAATTAGGGAAAAGGCCCACCATGGTCCGTGGGCCCTCACCCCTAAAACCCAACCCCTAGCCATAAAAGGAATAGAATTAGCAAGCCTATAATATTAGTTCCTAATTAGGACTCCTAAATATATAAATAGGGGACTTAAGAGGCACCTAGAACCCCCCACCACAATAATCCCTCACCACACAAGAAGTTCCAAGAATTCCCCTATGAGAAATCAAGAAAGAAGAAAGCTTAAAGAAAGACCCTTCATAGCCAAGGAATTAATTAAGGCTAAGAGGTAACCCATGTCTCAACAAAACCTATTTTCATAGCTATGATTCCCCTCTTAGGATTTCCCCCATATTCTTGTGTGTTGATGATTCGTTATAATGATCTTGATAATTGGCGTTATAATTCCATGGGTAATCTTGATGATAAGAGGTTCTTGATGATTATATGGTGTTCTTGATGTTCTTGATGATTATATGATGTTCTTGATGTTTATATGATATTCCTACCGAATCTTGATATTAGAAGATAAATTGTGTTCTTGTTGATCTAAAAATAATTAGAACCCTAGGTTATATCGTGGAATTCGTATGGTATTATTCTTGGTAGATTGGGTGGGAATTTGTATGTTTGGGTGTTGATTATGTTTAGAAAAGCATGATAGGTTATGTGCCGTATGTTTCTTGATTTTGATCCGTTAATTGTCTACGTGTGTTATCAATTCCGTTTGAAAGTGCCTAAGCATGGTTTCGGGTTCCACAAAGGTTCCCGGGGCGTTTTTGGTGAAAAAGAGTCAGTGGGGGGTAGGTGGGAGTAGTGGACCCGCCACCTACCCGCGGCCTATTTGGGCAACGCCGACAGCGGGGAGCCGGCGGGCGGGCAACTGCCCGCCGGGCACCCGCTGCCCGGAGTCACGCCACCGGCGGGCAGCCGGCGGGTGAACCCTCACCCACCGGCTACCCGCTGGAAAATACCCTACCTCGGGCTTCCGACTTCCCCGTTTGATGTTCCCCCGACCCCCGTGGTGTCCCAACGGACTCCGTCTATCGTGCCTATGTCTAGTTTGATATTTCGGGTACCGTTCGTAGGTCGTATGAGTCTTATATATTGCATGCTAGTTGAATTGGTATCCCGTTGACCTAGGTGAAAGAAGTATGAACCCCTTAGGATTATTCTTAGTATGTGAAGGATCACGCATAGGTCTTGTTATACGTTTTCTCCCCCTTCCCAATGTGTTAATGTGGGTTGCATGTGCTTGCTATGTGTTATGTGTGCATGATACCCCAATTTGGTTGCGATCAAATTGGCTATACGGGCAGTTGGATGGGTTGAGAACCATACTGACTGTTAACCGGGCCGGTTGCGATCGGTCAGGTATATAAATATTATATAGGTTTGCGGTCCACCGTTTGGTTGCGATCAAACATTTCTACATGAGCTGCGGTTCATATTTCCTGGCTGCGGTCAGAGGACATACTCTTGGGCTGCGGTCCACTATTTGGTTGCGATTAAACTATGATGAGCTGCGGTTCATCGGTCGGTTGCGATCGACCCCTCCGTGTTGCGATACGGGGCAGGGTGCTGCGGGGCCGTGTCAGAGCTATATGCGCTGACCCTCATGTATGGGCATGCGATTGGTCCTGTGGCGCCAACAAAGTGTGCTACGTGATGAGATATGGATGAGTTGTTGTTATGAGTGTCTTGGGAGGTGACTTTGGGATTTACGCCGGGAATCGTATATGTTGGGTTATGGATATTAACTGTGCTTATCTTTATCTGCCTTGCCTGTTTCCCTATGCTTGTGAATTGTTTATGCTTGATTATGTCCGTTGACTGTGCTAAGCCCTATCTGTTGAGTCTATTCCCTGTTTTGAAAGCTAGAGTCTCTTAGGATATATCTTTGTGCTTCGAAATGGGTTTTCGTATAACTATGTATAGATCTATATGTATTGTATTTCAACGCGTTGGAGTGGGTTACCAGCATCTCTCGCTGAACAGATATATTTGGCTTTCAGGCACAGAAGAATAGACACTGGAGCGCGCTAGAATCGTGGAGCATAGAAGTAGATAGTTTCACTTTCGGCCTGTGTGCCACGGTTATGCATTTACTTTGTTAAGGATATTATTTAGTTAGCCTGTGCACCTGAGTTCTCTAGCTCAGGTGTGGCATAACACCCTGAACTCTTTATATTATGTTTTGGGATTTAATGAGATTTTACCTTCTTTACATAAGTTTCAAAAGTTTCAAAAATCTGGGGTGTTACAGTTGGTATCAGAGCCTAAGTTTGACCCTAGGATAAGACTCTTAAGACCAGACTTTAGGGCATTAAGCTTAAACTCTAGGTACTTAGGAACATAGGGTTCAGGAATCGTAGGACGCGCGGTGAGATTGTGAAACCGACACATAGCCCCCTCACTTAATCCCTCTCTGACTTAAAGAAACTCCCCCTTCCCTTATTACATCAAGGTAAGGATACAAAGTAACATCGACTTATGAACACCAGGATGGCACAAAAAAGGATACAAACAGGAACACCGAAACTCCCCACTCAGGAATTCTTGACTCAGAATCTACAACGCCTGGCCCAAATTTCCCAGGCACTGAGTACTACCATTCCCCAACCTTTACCAACAAACGAGAACTTGGAAATCCACCACCAAGTCTCGGCGCATCAACCACCCACCTTCTTAGGGAGCGAAGATCCCACGATCCTCGAGGAATGGATCGGAACTTTTGACAAGATATTCCGGGCAACCGAATGCCCAGAAAACCACCAAGTCAGAATAACCTCCTTCTACCTCAGACACGATGCCGACACCTGGTGGGTCCACGAGCGATCCACATACGAACAAAGACCCGAATTCAACTGGGAAACCCTAAAAACACGGCTGCGAGAACAATTCTATCCCGACCATCTAAAAGCCACCATATACGAAGAGTTCCTCCACCTGAAACAAGGGGCAGGGGTGTTCTCGAAAATTGACCTAAGATCCGGATATCACCAAATACAAGTGGCCAAACCAGACATTCAGAAAACGGCATTCCGGACGCGTTACGGCCACTATGAATTTACAGTAATGCCCTTCGGACTCACCAATGCACCCGCCATATTCATGGACCTCATGAACCGGGTTTTCCGACCCCACCTGGATGACTTCGTCATTGTATTCATTGACGACATCCTAGTCTACTCCCGAAACAAGGAAGAACACGAAAGGCACCTCCGCATAACCTTGCAAACTCTAAGAGAACACCAACTATACGCTAAGTTCTCCAAATGCGAATTCTGGAAAGACAGCAAGGCCTTCCTAGGCCACGTGATAACCAAAGAAGGAATTAAGGTAGACCCCGCCAAGGTCCGTGCCGTTAAGGAATGAACCACACCAAGTTCGCTGTCAGAGGTCCGCAGCTTCCTAGGCCTGGCTGGTAACTACAGGAGGTTTGTACCCGACTTTACTAAAATAGCTCAACCTCTCATCAAACTCATGAAAAAGGAGACCCCCTTCCGATGGGACGATAACTGCATCGCGACCTTTCAGGAATTGAAAGATAAACTAACCACGGCACCCGTACTAGCTATCCCCTCCGGAGTGGAGGGATTTGAGGTCTTCAGTGACGCATCCAAAAAGGGGTAGGGTTGCGTGTTAATGCAAAAGGGCAAAGTAATAGCATACGCATCCAGGCAACTCAAAACCCACGAAGAAAATTACCCCACCCATGACCTCGAGCTAGCCGCTATCGTATTCGCGCTGAAAATTTGGAGGCACTACCTATACGGAGTGCAATGCAAGATCTATACAGACTATAAGAGCCTAAAGTACATCTTCACCCAGAAAGACCTAAACATGAGACAACGAAGGTGGCTAGAACTCATAAAAGACTACGACCTAGACATTCAGTACCACGAGGGAAAAGCTAACATTGTGGCAGACGCCCTAAGCAGGAAGGCTAACCACTCCCTCAATGCCACCTTGGGTCCTACCCGACCAGCTGTACAAAGACTTCCAGAAGCTGAACTTGGAAATAATAAAGCAAAATCAAACCCACCCCGAGATCCACCTATTCAACACACAAATCATACCCACACTCTTCGAAGAAATCAAAATAGGACAGCAGCAGGATCCGGGACTAGATAAAGTACGCCTCGACCTAACCAAAGGGAAAGAAGGACCCTTCAAAATACACGAAGATGGCAGTCTCCGCTACCAAGGTAGGTGGTGAGTACCCACGACGCATCCCCACTTAAAACAACAAATCTTGGAGGAAGGACACAACGCCCCATACTCAGTGCACCCCGGGGGTGACAAACTATACCAAGAGGTGAAAAGGTCGTTTTGGTGGCCCAACATGAAAAAGGAAGTCGCAGATTTCGTGTCCAAATGCCTGAACTGCCAAAGGGTGAAGGCCGAATGATGCAAACCCAAGGGACCCGTGCAACCCCTTGAGATACCACAAGGAAAGTGGGATTCCATATCCATGGACTTCGTCGGAGGATTACCCCCAACAAAAACCGGCAATGATAAAATTTGGGTCATAGTAGACCGACTAACCAAAACGGCGCGATTCATTGCCATGAAGGAGATATGGACGATGACACAACTAGCCCAAGCCTACCTAGCCCGAGTGGTGAAATACCACGGAATTCTCCGAAACATTGTGTCCGATAGAGACTCCAGGTTCCTCTCACAATTCTGGAAGTCACTACAATCGGCCTTAGGGACACAACTAAAACTAAGCACGGCATTCCACCCCACCACTGACGGCCAAACCGAGAGAACCATTCAGACTCTCGAAGACATGCTGAGGGCCTGTGTGTTAGACTTCCAAGGGACATGGGATGAACACCTAAACCTCATTGAATTCTCGTACAGCATGCCTCCGAACAGAAGACAATCAAGGACTCCAGAACCCGCCACACACGACCCCCTGACCCAAACTCTGCAACAACTAACGCAAGTCGCCCAGGCACTGAGGTACGTGGCCCTTCGCAACAACAGGCCCCCACCACCTCCATCAAACGCAAACTTAGACGTCGCTCGACAAGTTTCAAATCATCGACCACCCACGTTCTCAGGAGAAGAAGATCCCGTAATCCTGGAGGAATGGATCCGGACCCTCGACAAAATTCTGGGGGTAGTAGAATGCCCAGAAGAACGTCGCGTAGAGATAGCCTCGTTCTACTTCGGACACGAGGCAGACCTTTGGTGGATCCACGAAGGACCCGCTTACCAACAAGAACCGGGGTTCGACTGGGAAAGCCTCAAAACACGACTACGAGAGCGATTCTATCAAATACACGTAAAAGCATCTATGTACGAAGAGTTCCTCCATTTGAAACAAGGAACGACTACCGTCATGGAGTACCATAAGCGATTCCTCGAACTAGCACGCTTCGCGCCAGAACTAGTCCCCACTGAGGTAACTAAGATAGAGAGGTTCGTATCGGGCCTCAACTTCGAAGCCCGAAAGCCGTCGCCGAAGTCGAGCCTCGCCGCCGCCCTGTCGCCGGAAACTTTCACCGAGACCCCGCTGGAAACTCGCCATGGACTCGCCGGAAAACACCACCTAGACGAAAACCCAAAATGCCGAAAAAACCCCTCGGAACCCACACCCGGGAATGGAGCAACGCCGATTATACCGTAATCGGAGGTAAAGCCCTTGAACCCGATCAATTTTCTCCGGAATTGGTTGATATACTTAATCACCAAGGGCTTTTGGATACGTACCTCACCATCAAGGGGGATCCGTACCCCGAATTGGTGAAAGAATTCTATCAACATCTAGTAGCCACCAAACGGGGTGATAAGCTAGAAATCACCACCAAGGTCCGCGGCAAGGAAATCATACTCTCCGAAGGCCGCTTGGCCAAGCTCTTGAAATTGACCACCACGGGTGCGTCAAACTACGACCGAAAGGGGTGGATTGATACCCAAAATACGGGGTACAAAGACTATCTCGGGTACCTACTCGGGAAAGAGGAAGGATTCACCTCGGCCACACGACCAAATAGGAAGTGGCTAACGGCGGAGCAAAAGATATTGGTTATGATTGTAACCGACAGCCTCTTGCCCACAAACAATAAGAGCAAAGACGTGGGGAGCTTAGAGTGCACTTTTGCTTACCTCTTGAAACACAAAATCAAGTTCAACCTACCGGCCCTCATGCTAAAACACATGGAATTTTGCAAGTCAAGCAACCGACTTAGCCTGCCCTATGGGATGATCCTAAGTTGGATCATGGAGAAAAAGGGGGTGGACCTAAGCCACACTGAGGTCAAGACTGTAAATGGCATGATTTTTAATGCCCAGAACCTCCGACGCAATGATATCTACTACACCGAGGGAGGACAGTATGTCACCCTCGAGGAAATTTGTCTCAAACCCGAGGAGGAGCGTAGGGAATTGGTTGACCGATTGGGCATCTCCAACAAAAAGCTTAAACGGGCGATGCAAGATTGTGGGGGACTAGAGGGAAGTGAGGATCAGGAAGAGGATGACGAGCCTAACCCATCAGCGCACCCACGATCAGGAGGGAACCCAAGGGAACAAAACGAGGGCTCGGTCAATGAGCGCATCCTAGCACAACTCAACCGGCAAAACCAAATCATGGAGGAAGGGTTCTCGTCCTTAATCCGCACGACACGCGCATTAGATCAGAGGGTGGCAGCAATCGAGGCCACCATGGGCACTCGCAGGGCATCCAGCGACGGAGCAAGAGACCAAGGTAGACCCAAACTGTCCTATCACCACACCACCAGAAGTCCAGTCTACCCCAGCTAAGACAAAACGTGGGGCCACGTTCCTAACCAGGAGGCCAAAATGCGGGATGTCCAGGGGTGAAAGAATGGATTAACACACCGGGCTTCGGGGACGAAGCCCCTCGTAAGGGGGAAGAGTGTAACACCCCGTGTTATGACCCCTAAAACCAATTAATCATTTAACCAATTATCAAAAGAAAGAATTAAATTACAATAATTAATTTGGAAAAGGCCCACCATAGTCCGTGGGCCCTCTTATCTAAACCCAACCCCTAGTCCTAAAATGAATAGAGTTAGCAAGCCTATAGTATTTGGACCCTAATTAGGACTCTTAGATATATAAATAGGGGACATATGAGGCACCTAGAACCCCCACCACAATAATCCCTCACCACACAAGAAGATTCCAAGAATTCCCTTAGGAGAAATCAAGAAAGAAGAAAGCTTCAAGAAAGACCCTTCATAGCCAAGGAATTAATTAAGGCTAAAAGGTAACCCATGTCTCAACAAAACCTATTTTCATAGCTATGATTCCCCCCTTAGGATTTCCCCATATTCTTGTGTATTGATGATTCGTTATATTGTTCTTGACGATTGGTGTTATGATTCCATGGGCGATCTTGATAATCTTGTTGATGAAAAAAGGATTCTTGATGATTGTGTGATTCTTGATGAAACCTAGTTTCTTGATGATTATGTGTCATTCTTGATTGTTCGTGATGTTTAAAGAGGAATCGTGTTCTTGTTAAATTGGATGTGTCTAGAGCCCTAGGCTGTATCGTGAAATTCGTATGGTGTTATTCTTAATGTGTTGGGTGGAAATTCGCATGTTCTGGTATTAATTATGTTTAGAACAGCATGATAGGATATGTGCCGTATGTTTCCTGCTTTTGATCCGTTAATTGTCTACGTGTTGTTATCAATTGCGTTTGAAAGTGTCTAAGCATGGTTCCGGGTTCCACTAAGGTTCCCGGGGCGTTTTCGTGATGAAAGAGTCAGTGGGGGGTAGGTGGGGGTAGGGGACCCGCCACCTACCCGCGGCCAACTTCGAAGTCGCCGGCAGCGGGCAGCCGGCGGGCAGGCGACTGCCCTCCAGGCACCTGCTGCCCGGAACCACGACGCCGGCGGGCAGCCGGCGGGTGATCCCTCACCCACCGGCTACCCGCTGGATTTTACCCCACCTTGGGATTTCGGCTTCCCCGTTTGATGTTCCCCCGACCCCCGGGTGTCCCAACGGACTCCGTCTATCGTGCCTATGTCTAGTTTGATGTTTGGGTACTATTCGTAGGTTGAATAATTCTTATATATCGCATGCTAGTTGAATTGGTATCCCATTGGCCTAGGCGTAAGAAGTATGAACCCCTTAGGATTATTCTTAGTATGTGAATGATCACGCATAGGTTTCGTTATACAATTTCTTCCCCTCCCCAATGTGCCTATGTGGGTTGCATGTGTTTGCTATGTGTTATGTGTGCATGATACCCCAATTCGGTTGCGATCGGATTGGTTATTCCTGAGCTGCGGTCAGATTTATACTCTCAGGCTGCGGTCCACCGTTTGGTTGCGATCAAACGTTTTACATGAGCTGCGGTTCATATTCCTGGCTGCGGTCAGATGACTACTCTTGGGCTGCGGTCCACTATTTGGTTGCGATCGAACTATGATGAGCTGCGGTTCATCGGTCGGTTGCGATCGACCCCTCCGTGTTGCGATACGGGGCAGGGTGCTGTGGGGCCGTGTCAGAGCTATATGCGCTGACCCTTATGTATGGGCATGCGATTGGTCCTGTGGCGCCAACAAAGTGTGCTATGTGATGAGATATGGATGATTGGATTGTTAAGAAAGCGTGACCATAGGATACGTGCTAGTAACTGTATATGCTTGTTTGTGATTATTGGCTGTGCTTATCTCTACCTGTCATATCTGTTCCCTACACTTGTGAATTGTGCATGCTTGGTTATGACTGTTGGTTGTGCTTATCCATATCTGTCGAGTCTATTCCCTGTTTTGAAAGCTAGAGTCTCTTAGGATATATCTTCATGCTTCGAAATGGTTTTCATATATCTATGTATATATCTATATGTATTGTATTTCAACGCGTTGGAGTGGGTTACCAGCATCTCTTGCTGAACAAATATATTTGGCTTTCAGTCACAGACGAGTAGATCACTGGAGCGCGCTAGAGGCTTAGGTCTTAGATTAGATAGTTTTCCCTTTCGGCCTGCGTGCCATGATTTTGTATTGATACTGGAGTTAATACCCAAAATAGTCCATCGACTATGTCGTAATTACCAATTTGGTCCTCGACTATCATTCTTACCCAATTAAGTCCTCAACTATACAATTTTTGCACAATTAGTCCTTTTTCAATTTGACTGTTTGTTGACTGTCAAAAGTGGAAATAAAGTTGTAATTTTACAAGTTTTCTCCTTCCTCCTCATTTAGCAGCGCCAAACCATGTAGCAATAAGCTCCGGTTGGGTTCTAAACCTGTCAGTATCGAAGTAGTGGTTATGCATCGGATAGCCCATGAATTTGATTTCCAACGATTTTTTGACGATCGAAATCTGATCGGAGTGTATTGCTGCATGGTTTGGCGCTGCTAAATGGAGAGGAAGGAGAAATCTTGTAAAATTATAATTTTATCCCGACTTTTGACAGTCAACAAACAGTCAAATTAATACAGACGACTAAATTGGGTAAGAATTATATAGTTGAGGACTAAATTGGGTAAGAATTGTATAGTTGATGACTTAATTGAGTAAAAGTTACATATTGAGGACTTAATTGGGTAAGAATGGTAGTTGAGAACCAAATTGGTAATTATGGCATAGTCAAGGGACCATTTTGGGTATTAACTCTTGATATTGATTGAGGTTTTTAGAATTTAGCCTGTGCACCTGAGTTCTCTAGCTCGGGTGTGGCATAACGCCCCGTATTCTTATAAATGTTTTGGGATTTATGATCATTTACCTTTGTTATATAGTCTTTAAAAGTTTTTGAAATTTCGGGGTGTTACAATTCTATTTATTAGGGTTCAAAATCCTAGGATGATTCACAATGATTGGTTGAGGGCAAAGGGGTAATTCCACAAGCTAAAAGATGAATCAGGAAGGGATTTTTGGATGTCTTGTGGTCCACCATGCAACATGAACCATAGGCTAGAAATGCTATCTTTAATTACTTTGGGGTTGAAAGTGAATTTTCTCAAAAGCTATTTGGATGAACACTTGTTTAAAATCCTTTTTGAATTCTCCCGGTCTCACTCAGATAAAATTCTCGATTTAAATCTTGGTACGCGAAGTACCCGAAAACTTAGAAATTTTCGAATATAATCCATTTTTTTGTGTCGAATTAATTTAAAATGCGACGAAACTATTTTATTCAAACACCGATTGATCGCAAAAAAATTTAATGTAGTGAAAAAGCTATTTTGGGATTTCTTAATACTGGATTTATAAAATGAAATTTTGGGTTGTTACACATGGGTTACCTCTTAGCCTTAATTAATCCTCCCTTGGCTATTAACTCTTAGCCTTAATTAATCCTCCCTTGGCTATTAAGGTTCTTCTCTAAGATTTCCATCCGATTGATCTTCCTAGGCTTGGTGGTGGGGAATCTCCTAGGAATAATTTCGTGTAATATACATATGGGTGGTAAGGGTTCTAATTGTTTTCTAATCCCCTATTTATAGAGTTAGGAATCCTAATCAGAGTCTGAACAGTAAAGACCTACATTCTATTCCTAACAGGTATATAGGTCTAGGATTCCTAATTAGAATCTGAATAGTGGAAAGTCCACTCTCTTTATTCCTAATAGGCTTAAGACTCTAGTTTAGGAAAGGGTCCACAATCCATGGTGGACCACATTAATTAATTAAAGGGATTCCTAACCAAATTAAATTCTTTTTAATTATTATTAACGAAATTAATTAAATAATTAATCTTCAGGATTAAAGGCCGTAACACGGGGTGTTATAGACGTCTTCTACTAAAGTGCCTCCGGGATTCAAGTAGCGTAGCCTTCGGGATTCAAACGGCGTAACTTCCGGGATTCAAGTGGCGTGATCTTCAACAGCAAGCAAACGTCAAGCTTCAAGCCAGTCGACTCTGCAGAGCTTCAAAGTACCTGCAATGGCTTCAAAATCTTCAAAGCGGCTTCAAATCTTCAAATGCCTTCAAGGAGTACTCAATTCTTCAAGTCTTCGAGTTGTTTTCAACGTATTCAAGGTGTGATTTAAATAATGAAATTGAGACTCTATTTATACTAAAGTTTGTAACTAAAATCCCTCAACAAACTCCACTAATATTTGTTTAATTTAATTAATTAATTATCTACTAAAATGAAGCTTGTCAAAATCAAGTCTAGGTTCATTATTCTATCATCTAATTCAAATTTGAATTAAATTATAATTATCTAATTCAAATATAATAAAATCATATTATATTTAAATTATAATTATAATTATAATTATAATTCAATTATGAAATGGGCTTGGACCAATTAATTAATTAATTCAATAGCTCAAATCAAATTTACTTGGACTAATTAAATTAATTTAATTATCATAGCCCAATTAATTAAATTGAACTAATAATCAACCCCGAAATTGGGCTCGATAATGATTTAATCGGTCCACTTGTCGGCTTCAAATTTTCTGTGTCTACAATTGTACATTTGTAAACTCTTGTGATGACACAGGAATTAGCATTTAGAAATGCTTGACGGTGCACATGGGGATGCTTGACAACATATCTAGAAATGCTCCAAGTCTAAATACACCGTCAAGTATTCTCATGTACACCATCAAGCATCATGTCCTGACTTACCAAACGAAATTTTTGACATTTTGACGAAAATTAAATATTAGAGTTAATTACCTATTTGGTCCCTTGACTATGAGGATTTCACCAATTTGATCTTCGACTACCAAAATTTCTCAATTTAGTCTCCAAATATGCTTTTTTTTTACACGAAATGGTCATCAGTCTAATTTTTTGGTCAAACTAAAAGGGTAAATTCAGAATTTGAAAAAATCTTCTTCTTCTTCCATAACTAAAAGGTAATTAAATTTCTTCACCAACGCCGGAAAGTGTAGAGGATATCTTCCTCTAAACCCTTAGGAAGCCCGAGAACCATCAAACGATGGAGATTAAACACTATCCATTTCCCAATAAGATTAGGGTCATCGCTTCCCAGCTTGGTTCCTGCCGGATCAACTCCAAACCACGATCGGGTAAAAAAGTTGAAAGTCGCCTGATCGTTATCGGCATTCAAGCCTACTTTACCCTTGCTAGCTACCTCCTTCTCCAAACCCTCAAACTTCTCCGTGTAGCTCTTGTGGAACTGCGGTATGACGTAACCGTCGGTGCGTTCCGTGGAGGGCATGAAAGTTCCGGTGAAGAGATCCTTTTTCTCGACCTTTCCCAGATCAAACAGCGTTGGAAAACTCTTGCTGTCGAGCAAAACCACCAGGGCCCATGCTTGGGGGAGGGCCCCATCCTATCTCTTATATATGTAGTATATATGTATTGAGTATAAGTAATTTATATACATATGTTTTATAGTAAGGTGAATTAGCTTGTATGGTAAGATAATTTAATTTTAACCTCATTTAATCAAAGGTCGGTGATCCAACCCTTCTCTTGACATTTTAGTATTCCTCAACTTTACTTCTTTGCTTATATTCTAATGTATATTTTAAAAATTTATTTTTATTGATTTTTTGTGTTTAATACGAAGTAGTATTTCTAATGTAGTTTTTAAATATATAAATTTTCATATATTTATACTAAACATATTATGAAAATTTTTTATATTAAATTTTTAATGCAGTTTCTAAATTTATAAATTTTTATATACTTATACTAAACATATTATGAAAAATTGAATTAAAAAAACTGCAATCAACTAATGTTAACCAAACAAGACACATAAAAATAGGACGAAGTGGGTTATATGATATATTTTGAGATTGAATTATAAAAAAATAAAAAAAATTAAAAGATAATTTACTCCGTACCTTTTTATGAATATCTAATCAATGTAATATAGAAGCTTCTATCATGTGCCATTGTATTCAAATTATTTTTAAAAAGTTTGAAATTTATCTAAAGAAAAAGTATTTATAAAAATCATATAATAACATAGAAGATGTGTGATTTATAATATGCTTTATGTTCAAACTATTTTATCTATAGATAATTATGTTTCATATCTTTTTGCGTTTTGGTGAGCTGTCGTAGGCTCCCAAATTAAAACCTTACAAACGTAGTAGCGGGAGTAAGGATCGATCCCACGAGGAGTAATTAGTTTAATGTATGTGCTCAAATTAAAGGAAGGGGGGTTTGGAATATATCGAGAATAAATATTAAATAAAAGAGAAATTAAATAAACGAGAAATTTAGTCGAACGAATAAACAGTGAAAATAATATATCGAAAACACTTATAATAAGAAACCTTGGTTAGCAAAGATCCACCACCGGAATTCAACACTGATCATTGATTAATAAAGTAATTAATATGCAATTGAATAATTGTCGTGAAATTATTTCATTTCTGTTTTCCCTTAGTTGTAGGTAAATAAAGCACAAGCGGTTTAATTACCCCTAACTACTAAATAATCTAAGACAAGCGCTATAGATTTAATTTAATAGCAGCAATAGGAACTAGGAAAACCGACAAACTAAATAACACAAGCACAAGCGGTTGCATTTAATTTAGGAAAATATTCTACCCGAGACCAATTATCACTAAGCCGTCAATAATTAACCTCAGTTGCTACTGAATATTAGAATAATTTGTAGCACAACATTATCTAATATAGCAAATAATTATATCAAATAAATAACCAGTAGGCCTCCCTAGCAATTAAATGATACAACTATTCAAATAATTTAGAAGAATATTTAATACTCAAAATGCATAAAAACATATATATAATAAAGTTAAATAAATAACCTTACAGCGTTATGAACTCCGGGGCATCAATTCACTAAACCAACTAGAAATTAGCCACAAATGGACATTGATAACAACTTCAACGAATACTATAGAGGAGGGAAGAATGAACGTTTTACAATAGAAAAACTTCTACTATTTATACTATTCTTAAAATAAACTCAAATGAACCTCTGCCACTTATTTCCTCCTTTTGCGCCATGATGCGGTCTTTGGACAAAGCTCTCGCCGATGGAAGCGGTTTGATGACATTCTCCACTAGCTGCGCTGCCATGTCTAAATGAAAGAAAGAAAATAGAGTTTCAATTTGGTTTGATTGGTAAGCTTTATTATAATATATATATATATATATATAATCATTTATAAAGCAGTACGCCTTATATATATACTAGTATGCATTCTATATATATTATATATATTATATATAATATATTATATATTATATTATATATTATATATAAAAAGAACTAATTATTAGATATATTAAATAACTAATGCAAAATTATTATAAAGATGTACCTAAAATATGAGTGTAAAATATGCCTATCAAATTCCTCCACACTAAAACGTTTGCTTGTCCCCAAGCAAAAAATTTTATTTGCGAAGTAAAAAGAAATGAAATTCCCAAAATCCATAACACTTCATGAACAACAATCTGAAGCACCCTGCAATTAATAAGTTAGCATTCCCTATTCAAAAATGGAGAGAACTAAACAAGTAAGCACTCACAGGAATATCACTCATCACTCAAGTGTTTGAAGGTATAAATTTCACTCAAGTTCGTTCCAATAAAATTGCTCTACCATAGGCTTGCATATCTTCTCAATCACCACTACAAGAGTCATGCATGAAACAAATCATAAGGACTTTTCACAGGTTGTAATGGGGCTAGGGTTAAGGTAGGGAATATTTTAGGAAAGTAGTTTAAACAAAACCTTCAAACTAGAAGAGCAAATAAATACAAATAATCCAACACCCTCAATTTCCATTCAAAACATTTCTCATTGACACTTCAAGTATCATTCTCAAAAATATAGAATGCTTCCTCAGTATTACCAGAATTTCCCTCGCTTCATTTATTTAGAGGTAACTTCAACTCAAAACTAATTGTGGATTCTTTCTCATTTCCAGCAACATTTTCCCTTTTCAAACATATATTTTCCATTTTTCCTTTTTCATTTTTTCAATTTTCATGTTTTTTTTTTTTTTTTTTGAATCGTGAACTGCTTCCTCTTTTCTTTTTCATAGAAGACCAACAACATATTGGCAACGAAGATACAACTCACCTCACTCTCAATCATATTAATAAGAGTAAGTGATCTCCCCCACACTTATCCTTCCCAACCTCACGTAGATTACAAGAATAATTCAAAATTTGCTCCACTAGTTATTCAGCTGGGTGAAGGCATTACTTTTAGATATAAAAGGCTTGTGAAGTGGTTCAAAATAAAGAAAGGAATAGCCATAAAGCTCAAAGTGGTTAACAAAGGGAAATAAATCATAGGACAAACCGGTTATTTGGCTAGTGAGGCTCAAAATCAAATAATGGCCTTAATCACATTCGAATCATGCATGGTCTAATTAGATTTAAAAGAGAATCAAGGCAAGTTCTAGAGAAACAAAATTATGGAAGAAATCACACAATAGAAAGAAAATAAGACCGAAGTGTCGGTCAATGGCTCAAAACACTCACAGGTTTATTGCTTACTTAATATAGCCACTATATATCAAACAAGAAATGCTAACAACTAATCACAATTTGCCAAACTAATTATTCAATCACATTATGAATTTCAAGAAAGGAAAAAAAAAATATAATAATTTTTTTCAAAATAATACTTATTTTGCATAAAATACGAGTAAAATATTTTTTGAAAATTATGAAATAAGAAAACAAATAATAATAAAAATTTGTTTGACATAAGCAAACAAACAATAAAACTAAATTAAGTAAACAAATAATAAAACTAAATCTCCTCCCCCACACTTATTATCAACATTGTCCCCAATGTTGAATAAAAACATGCAGAAAAAGGGTTATTGAATGAGAATAGGGAATAAAATAAAATAAAAATGGAACAAACACACCTTAGGTTGCCTCCCAAGCAGCGCCTTTGTTTATCGTCGTTGGCTCGACTTATGATATATCTTTAAATTTCCATCGTCTTTTTGAGTACCTTCGATGATTTTGAGTATTCAAAGAAACAGCCCCTTCATGCAGATTAGGACTCAAAGATGATTTATTATTTGGTTCTTCTTTATTTTCAATAGAAGCAATTGCATTAAATTTAACAAGTTTCAAGGAATCAACAAAAATTGCAAAATTATCATCACTAGGAGATTTCATGGTATCATAAATATTAAAGTTCACAAATTTACCATTAGACTCCATTGTAAGCATGCCACTATGAATATCAATTTTCGTTTTTGCGGTTTTTAAAAATGGTCTTCCTAACAAAATATGAGAAATTTGATTATTATTTTCCATATCAAGGACATAAAAATCAGTAGGAAAAACCAAGTTATTAACTTTAACAAGCAAATCCTCAACCACACCCCTAGGATATGTAGTAGATCCATCAGCCAATTGAATTACTATACTAGATTTATTCAGGGGTCCAAGATTTAAAGAAGCATACACAGGATATGGCATAACATTAATAGAAGCTCCTAAATCTAACATAGCATTTTCAAGTTTCACACCACTTATCATGCACGGAATAGTAAACATACCTGGATCTTTGCACTTTTCAGGAAGATTGCCTTGACTAGCCATAGAGACATTCTCGTGCACTTTCACTTCATCAACTCCTTTATTTTGTTTCTTTTTCAATGTGCATACCTCTTTTAGAAAATTTGCATAGCGAGGTACCTTTTTCATAGAATCTAAAAATGGTTTATTAGCCTCACATTCACGAAATGTCTCATATAAATCATTATTTGAGTTTCCTCTTATTGGTTCCAAAAGAGCTTGAGGAAAAGGGGGTACTGGTTCATAATCAGAAAAAGAAGAAAGGTTACCTTGGGACTTCTCTTTATTGGCAATGTTGTTACCTGCACTTATTTCCTTGTCTAAATCAACATTCTTTTCCAGCGACATACTTCCCACAGTAATTGCACTTACATTCTCTTTAGGATTAACGATCGTTTGAGAGGGTAATTTGCCAGAGCTCTGTGCTTCCAACCGACTTACCGTAGTTGCTAGTTGGCCCACTTGCCTTTCTAAGTTTTGAATACTAACCTTTGTTTCTTGAATACTAGCTCTTGTCTCTTGTTGGAATAGTTGTGTTTCTTGTTGAAACTGCAAAGTGTTAGTAGAAGAGATTTAACAATATCTTCTAGATTCATACCTGAGCTAGAGCTTTGGGCTGGTTGTTGGCTGGAAGGAAATTGTTGTCTATACTGTTGAAAGTTGGAACGATTCTGAACAAACTGGTTCCCTTGTGAGTTCCCATAGCTAAGGTTCGGGTGATCCCTCCATCCAGGATTATATTTATTAGAA